GTGCAGATCTATCTATCTATCTAATTATCTATCTATCTAATTATCTATCTATCTATCTATCTATCTATCTACAATCTATCTACAATCTATCTATCTATTAAGTATGTATATATAAATGTATGAATTTATGAATGTTTTCCCAACAAAAAAACTACCAACAAAGCCATTTGTGGTACTTATTTTTTGACGGTAACATTTTGCAAAGAACCCCCCCTATAAACTATAAAATGCATAATCCATCTGCAACGTCTTGTACCTCTCTATCATCTTTGATGCTGGGAAGGAAGCTCTCTATAAATGATAAAATAGGGAGCTCTGGAGGGGCATTTTATAGACGGCCAAGCCAGTCCTCTGTAAAATGAGTCCCGGAACAGCATTTTATAGAGGTAAAGCATGTGCATTTTATAAAGGATCAACTTAGGGGTATCCCTATGTCATTGCTGGAGCAAAAATCACCCGAAATTAAAACTGACTGCCAGTGGAATTTGAGTCAGCTTGCAATTCCTATATCAGCGATGTTAAATCTCGCTGGGCTTCAAGGAAGAAGCATCTGGAAAAAAATGATTTCTGTACTTTTGAGGAAAAAACCGGGTAGACCCTAAGATTTTGCCTCACTTCAGTTGTGGGAATCGCTTGGCTCTTTGGGGCTTAAAGGATTCAGACTGCTTCAAGGCACCAGTAAACAAGCAAATGTCAACCCATCAAGGAATGTTTATCAACAAAAAAAATACGGGTTTCCTGGCATGCGGTACCCCTTTCCAATCTCTTTCGCCATCGGTTTCCTCCCGATTGTATCTTGGCTTTATCCCACCGTAGAAACCCATTGAATGGCTACTTGCCCATTAAGCAATGGTTATATAAAGCATCATGTTTGATGGATATTTGATGGCTAAATCACCATGTCCCAAATCCATATCCAATATCCCATTCATTCATATCCCATGAATATCTAATAGCATATCACCATTAAAGGTCACAATAACGATTACGGTATATAATCATCATGTTTGATTGGTATTTGCTCAATCATCAGAGTACCGCCCTTTAAAATGATATCCATGATGTGTACAAAAGCACCATGTGTAGATCATTTTCCGAACGGCTACGCCCCCATGGCTTTTCCACATCTTTCCGGATCTTTTACCTCGGGGCATATTTTTAGAAAAAATTCCATGGACACCATCCATCCGCTGGATCGCCAGGTGGCTCTTCTTGGCCGCGCGCCCTAGGCCAGAGTTTACATAGCTGATCCACTAAAGAAGTTGAGTTTTGAGATAACATGGATTTATGGTGAGAAAATAATAGAAAATATACAATAAACAGGCACAATCATCACAATCTAAGCATCAAACATCAACAGAACCTGAATGGACACTACCTCACATAAAGTCCGACACCCTAAACAAACCCAATGAAGTGAAAGTTAGCAAGAAATAATCCCCAGAACCCCCACCTGAAAAAACATCAAAGGCAAGGATGAAACATTGAACAAGAACATAAAAACCATAACAGCCACCATATTGACATAAACTGTCCCAGTATCCCCCTTTTACCATTTTTTCCCATATTTTCCCGCAAACAACAGGGACTTCCCATTGCCGATGAGATGTCCAGAGGGGAACTATGGATTCATTCCCACTATCGGGCTGCACCTTTGGCGCGTTTGGAGAACTTAGGTTCAATGACCTGCGAAGTGTGACGTTTTTGTAGAGGAAGCACTGATATAAATTGATGAGACTTTATCTACCAGCAGCCACCATTAGTACCCACCATAAAAGTGGCCTCTTTTTGCATAGGTCACATATAAATTAGCGTCACTTAGGGGATCCAAATTTATGAACTTAATTAGAGCCACTTTGAGGGCTCTGGTAGAGGAAACACTGAAACTTAGATTTTGGGGGGGGGGCAAATCGGATCCGGACACTTCGAACCAAAACAATCATGGTGAAACCAATTTTCAAACCATGGCTAAAAACCACAGGTGTTTTGGAAAAAGATCACGAACTGATACCCAAATGCATCAAAACTGTCTTTATTTTGGTGCTATCACAATGTACATCGAAGTGCACGTGGCTGATAAGCCTAAATCCTCCAAGTTCAGTGATCTCACCCTTGCATAGGTGTGTCTAAAAACAAGATGAAGCCCACGAACCCGAATGCTCACACGTATGTGGAAGGTAACGAAATTAAAGTATCTATTACGCAGATATGATTGAAGTGTTAATGCTCACACCTATTGTAGAACAGTGGAACAGCGTCATTGCTCCGATTCTTTTTTCTCATGCTGACAAACTTCATGCCTCGGCAACACTCCCGTCCATGCGAAATTTGCTTGGGTCTCTGTCAGTAACCTTCGAACATCGGTCTTCACTGTCTCTATCAACGCCATGTCATTAACCGTGAATGCTTGATGGCCTCTGGCAACTGAGCACAGCCAAAATGTTAGCCGACGCAGAACCGTAAATACACGAATCTGCATGAATCTAGAACATCTCAGCAACCCTTTGATCATCGCAGTCTTGCATGTTTTTCCAGCTTCCCCCATAGACACGGCGACGCCACAGGAAAACGAGAGACTCGCGACAAGACACGTGGATGCAGAAAAACCAGCATTTCCTACGAGACTTCCTCCAATTTTGAAATTTTGCGAACATCATCAAACAGGTTGGACGGTTACAAAGTGACACGCCAGCCTTGCAAAACGACATGACAACCTGCTTGGACACATTCACATCGGAGCGCCACAGGAAAACCAGAGACTCGAGACGAGACACGTGGGAACACCAAAAAACGAGCATTTCGTGCGAGACCTCCTCCAATGTTGACACGTTCGACACCTTATCAAACAGGTTGGAATGTCACAAAGTGGCACGCCTGCCACGCAAAACAACATGACAACCTGCTTGGAAACCTCCAAAACGAACATTTCCTGCGAGAGTTCCACCAATTTGGACATGTTCGACACCTTATCAAACAGGTTGGAATGTCACAAAGTGCCACGCCTGCCACGCAAAACAACATGACAACCTGCGTGGAAACTTTCGAAAGGGAGAGGTTTTGCGGCTTCCTCCATAGACACGGCGAAGCCACAGGAAAACCAATGACCAAAGACGAGACACGTGGGAACACCAAAAAACGAGCATTTCGTGCAAGACCTCCTCCAATGTTGACATGTTCGACACCTTATCAAACAGGTTGGAATGTCAGAAAGTGCCACGCCTGCCACGCCACGCAAAACAACATGACAACCTGCTTGGAAACCTTCGAAAAGGAGAGGTTTTGCAGCTTCCCCCATAGTCACGGCGAAGCCACAGGAAAACCAGAGACTCGAGACAAGACACGTAGGAACATCAAAACCAACATTTCGTGCGAGACTTCCTCCAATTTTCACAGTTTGAAAGATGCCGAACGGACAAGTTTTGCAGCTTCCCCCATAGACACGGCGACGCCACCAGAAAACCAGAGACTCGAGACGAGACGCGTGGGAGGAGCACCAAAACGAGCATTTGTTGCGAGACTTCGTCGAATTTTCACACTTTGTAGCTTCAAAATCGACGTTTTCCTACGAGTTTTCCTAGGAACATCTAAATTTTGCTACCTCAAAATCGATGTTTCGTGCGAAGCTTCCGTCAATTTTCAGCACACGTCACAAAACGCCACGCCTGCCACGGAATTTGCACCTTGTCGCCATTTAACGCACCCTGCCAATGCGATTTGCAAAACACGCAACGCGACACGTCTAAAGTGCTGCGCCTGCCACGAAAAATGACGATGGACACGTCCAAAGTGCTGCGCCTGCCACGAAAACTGCAACACATCTTCTGAAAACGTCGCAAAAGTATTGCGCCTGCCACCCAAAACGACTTTCGACACGTTGCAGAACACGTCTGAATGTCACGAAGTGCCACGCCTGCCACGCGAAACGAAGCAACTACACATTGGAAACCTCTAAAAATGACCACCTCTGCAGAACTTCCCATAGGCACGGCCATACGGAGTTCGTACGAACGGTTGCGGACGGTTGCGACCGTGAACGCAACGTCGAGCGAACAAACCCTCAACCCAGACCCCCAGAGTGAAACGGGAACCCTTGCTACGCATTCGGGAAAAAGGTACCCCATTTCGTCCGATACTTTATCTGTTTGCCGTTTTTTAAACAAAAAAAAGGGTTGCTCATTGTTTTTTCGACTCTTGGCACGACAAAAAAAGCTCACTTTTCTTACTGGTGCTTAGCAGGGAATGAGGGAATGATCCACAATAACTATCAATAATAATCCCTTTTCCCCATTCCCATCCATTCCCTACGTTTAGCACCAGTAAGTTTTTCTCCCATAACAAGGAGCATCACTTCCGGAGAAACCCTCGAGCCTCCTCCTGGTATTCGGATGCGATGGTGATGTCCTCATCCTGGATGTGGATCAAACATCTGTCATGGCCATGATATTTTTTCTCCAGTCGAATGGTTGATTTATAGGGGTAATGCCCCTTTGGGGATGTAAAACATTGTAAAAAACTAATCTCTGATACAGTTGATCATTGGATATCAATGGATATCATGGATCCATCAACAGGAAAACCACCACAAACGCCCGCCGTTTATCTTCGCAGTTGTTGTGGAACGTAATTATGATGATTAATCATGCAATTTTGGATAGCCTCTGGTAATTTAACATAACTATTGGAAATCACCATGCTATTCATGGGTAAATCAACTAGAAATGGCAATGTTCAATAGTTAATTATGATAGTTTACCAAAGGGCAATTCTGGTGCACCCTTTTTTCAGCTCCCATACGGGTCAATTCATCGGCAAATACACGGATCCAAGGGTCTTCAGCTGTGAGCCGAGCTATAGACTGGCTCAGTATATCCCCGTGTGAAAACGTATTTCAGTGTGGGGTTTCCTAAGGCCCAAATCATCCAAGTATTGACAGCCCCATTTTAGGAAACCTCCATATAATTGTGAAGGTATTGATGGGTAAACAGCAACATAAGACATCTTTAACATGAGGTTGATAACCCAAACGGTTCATTTTGACAAATAGTAACGCAAAGAATTGGTAGTAAGAAAATCTGCGTCTCGTGCCTGTGCCTAACATAAGGCGGCCCACGTCGCTGGTCCTTTTTCCACTTCTTTGCCTCCTCATCGAAGCGTGCCCAGAACTGCGCAGCAGTCAGAGCAGAAGGGGTCAGCGTAACTTGGTGAAGGAACCCTCGAAACGATGAAGTCTTAGTTGATCTTTGTTGTACTAGTTGAACATTGCCATTTCTAGTTTATTTACCCATGAATAGCATGGTGATTTCCAGTAGTTATGTTAAATTACCAGAGGGTATCCAAAATTGCAACTAGTTTGGGGGGCTCAGCAAATAATCAACTGGAGGATAGCTGGGGGGTTGTTTATAGCCTGGGAACATTACGTATCCAGCGAATCCCGCCGCTGCCTGCATCTTGTCTGGTAGGACTCCATGGTTCTTCTGCGGGCAGAAAATGAAGCCAGCACTTCCTGGTGAATGTCAATCACATAGCCACATAGCCCTATTGCAGCCCCAAAGGACCCCCAAAGGACCCCCAAAGGACCCCTGCTCTCTTGGGATGCAGGTGGCTGGCTGGAAAATCACCTAAATGGTGAATGATCCAGCCATGTTTGATTGCCGAATGGTATAATCAATTCTACTCATGGAAAAAGGAAAAGAAGGAAGCAAACATCAGCCACTTCAGGACTTTATTGGTAATTCTACATCGAGTGCATGTGATTTCCTTGCTATGCCCATGTGATACATCACCAAGTGCTACCATCGCCCCAGCCTCCACAATCATAGAACACCCACCCGATAGCCACCCAAGTAAATAATGTCTTAGTATAGGGTGGTCTATCGATTCAATGATTACATCTATCACAATAAAACATTGACGAAATAATGACTATAACATCTTGTTTGATGGGTCCTTACTGAGATTTTTTGAGGGCGTATCTTGCTTGTTAGACTTCAACTGCTTATTTGTTTAAATACTATGAGGGAGTATCCATGATAGATTGATAGATTCCAGTGTTTCAAACGTCGCGTCTCGCACCTCTGAATCCATTCTGTCGCACTTTGCTGCTGCCAACAGTCCAGCGACCCAACTGGAGCGGCATCCGGGCATTCTGAATCTCCAATTTTAGGCAGGGACGAGATAATGAAGTGATACCAGTACATGGATTCCATGGATCTTGAGATAATGAAATGCCAGAAAACTCTGTGTAGAAAGCACCGCACCTTTTTTGGAAAAGATCGTTTGGAGATCATACGGGCCATCATTTGGTCAGCTCGAATTCAGTTCCCGACCCTGACCTCATCAGTGTAGATCCATCTTTCACCGCCCAGCTGTCTCCAGACCTCACCCGAGTTTCGCCATTGGGACCAGGTTGGGACACCCGAGTTTCACCTCAGGCAATGGCTGGCATACCATTGCCACGTTCCTCCTTCACCAAGACGTACCTCAGCACGACACGGCCATGATTTGAATTATGAACTTGCATTGAGAACAACAAGGCATTTTCATGCAATTCAAAGCTAGGTATTTCTTCTGACTTCTGACTTATGTGCCACATATGTAGCAAATTGGATCCATATTGAACATTGCGGCAAGATCAACATCCAAAGCATTCGAGTCGGTTGAGGCTGCTGCATGCCAAAGCAATGGTTCTGGCCATTAGGTGAAGACACAAACAGCCTCACAGCTGTGTTTCATGCACTTGGACCGGGCTTAGAACTCTGAGTCCTGCGGTAGACTGGAGATTTGCTTTGAAAAACACATATCCATAGGATCCATGTATGGTATCTATGCTAACATTGGGGGTATATTAATGGTAAATGTTACCATATGTGGCATACATGGATCCTATGGCATTGAAAAGCACCTATTGTTCCAGCTTGTGTAGACACGGAAACCAGAAAACTAACTAACTGCAACGAAGACAAACTGGTGCAATCCTGGGATGATGCGAGAGTGAGGATATGTGAGGACCTTCGAAAATGCTGGTCATGCTGGTATTCATCTGGCGGTTTCCAATGATTTCATCATTGTTGATCTACATATACATGATATATAATATATAATAGACATAATATAATAAAATAAAATGTAATATAATATAATGTAATATAATAAAATGTAATATAATTTAATGTAATATACTATAATGTAATATATTGTAATATAATATAATGTAATATAATACAATGTAATATATATAATGTAATATAATACAATGTAATATAATGTAATGTATATAATGTAAAATAATATAATGTAATATAATATAATGTAATTTAATAAAATGTAATATAATTTAATGTAATATACTATAATGTAATATATATATATATATTGTAATATAATATAATGTAATATAATATAATATAGTATAGTATAACATAACATAATATAATATTCCATCCAGGGCCTCTCCAATTCTTCCTCTTCCGCCTGGAGGAAAACCCTCCGGCGATAGAACTGCTGCGTCCGAGGAGTTACAAAACACAGTGTATCTTGGCACACTGCTGATCCAGAAGCCAATGATGGCATCGAAAACCAAACTGCACTGCTCCTAACTGTACGAAAAAATCATTAAGATTCATGAAGACTTGACTAGGATTTAATATTCCGCTTTCATATCGTGTTGCGTGTGTTGTTTTATCGTACCTGTTTTGCAGGGTAAAGCACCCAAGTTTACTGCAATGTGGGACCTCCCAAGATCAGTAAGTTCGTCCATATAACCACCCTGAATCCGACCATGATTGTAGTTCAAGGTCCCAAGGTGCTGATTGTTGATTGATGGTCCATTAAATGATTGTAGTTCTAAAATCAACAATCATTGTAGTTCATACAGCTTTATATTCTATAAATCTCTATATATATACTGGTGTGTGGTTTCAACCCCTCTGAAAGATATGATTTCGTCAGTTGGGAATATGAAATTCCCAATATATGGAAACAACAAAATCAGGTTCCAAACCACCAACCAGACCATTCATCATGGAAACTAACTAATGTAATTATGGAACATCACCATCATTTTACCATTGTTGTTGGTTTATAGCCTATCAACCACTATTAACCACTATTAAAATGGGACTATCCCCCAGCTCTGGTGAGTTCTCCCCATCCCGTTTCAACGCCCGGGCCCGAAACGCCCCATCCAAGGTCTGCTAAGTGGGTTATATAAGTGTTATATATATATATATATTATATATATATATATATCGTATATTAATCTACAATATAATACCATTTTGCATGATATTCTCATTGAATTCCATAGCTGCTTGTTTGTTGCGTTGTTAAATTCCGTGAACTCACCATGATTGATACGTTTTTTTAGAGATGGTTTACCCTCTGGTTATGACTAACAATTCGCCATGGAAGCCATGGTCCATAGAAATAGATGGTTTACCTGGGTTTACCTATTAAAAAATGTGATTTTCCATGGCGAAATGTTAAATAACCAGATGGTAAACCATCATTTTATCACCGTCGATGGATGGCTGCCACACCTCTTCAGCACCCAGATCTTCCAACGCAGCCAGAGCTGCCGAGGGATCCTGAGGGATCAGAAATCCCCAGAAATCCATGGGAAATCCCGCGGTGCATCCTGCACAATCCTTGGCAACTAGTTGGTAACTATTACCCAGATGCTCCATTAGTATGGAATATTTACCTACATGTGGTAATCATGTCATCCCAAATCTACCCTCTGGTTTCTACGTTAACTAAAAAAGGCTACTAGCTGGGGATTTAGATGCATTTAGAATGATTTACCCAGCCTGGTAAACGTGTACAAAAAACGATGGAAAGATCCACCATGCTATCAATGGGTAAATCCACTATTTCGACTGGGCCATTTTCAATGGCTATTTTGACATAACCAGAGGGTAACTATTATGGGATTCCCATGACACACTTTTTTCATAGAATGGGATCATAATTTTCATAATGGGACAAACCATCAACTGGTGAATTTGGTGCACACTTTTCTCATAATGGGATCATAACTTACTGGTGCTTAGTAGGGAATGAGGGAATGATCCATAATCACTAGTGATAATGATCCCATTCCCCCATTCCCTACTAAGCACCAGCAAGTTATGATCCCATTATGAAAAAAGTGTTTCATGGGAATCCCAATAGTTACCAACTAGTGCAGGATTTCGCAACCATCCACAATATTTCACGGGATTTTAGAGGGACAAATGGACATATAACTGTTGGGATGATGTGATTTTTTAGAACATGGAAATATCATGAAATATCACTGTTGGTTAGAGAATGGAATTTCCATATTAATGTAACTGTTGGGATGAGACTAGGAAAAACCATGTTATAAATCGACATCTATGGTGATATGTCATGGGATTCTAAGTTTTTAATATGTTAATTATAAGGACATATTAATTGGGATTCTAATGGATCTATGGAAATCTAATGGAATCTATGGTGAACTGTCATGGGTGAACACGGGTGAACTAATTCATGGGGATCGTATGGGATAAAAGGGGAATTTCGGGGGATAGGATGACATATCCCTTGGGATTTGAATGGGAAAACCACGATGGAAATCTATGGCGAACTGTCAAAGATGAGGATTTCACAACGGTTTCACTGAATTCACATCCAAAAAAATCCCAATTTGGGAATTAACAAGTTTTTGTTATTGTCTATATTCACTTCAGTCCTGGTTCCTTCGAAAATCTATGCTGAGTCACTGCTGCTGAGCTGTTAGATGTTTATCAGCGGAGAGAACTCTATGAGGACAGCGCGATGATGCACGAAGAGTGTCGAAGACATTCAGGTTCTACTTTCGCAGGCCAGCTAGCTTATTAGCTTTGGTTCAGACCAAAGATTTCAAAGTTGTGCAGATCAACACGGAAAACAACAGAATCTAGCACAATCATCCACAAATCGCACCAGAATACTGGCTGAATGCACCTTTTTCATAGCTGAAACTGGCGGCCGGGGGATGATTCCCCCAAACCCTCAGCATTACAGTGACGGAAAAGAACGTGAGGTCATCATGTCATCATCCCAAATCTACCCGGCCTGGTAAACGTTAACAAAAAACTGTGGAAAATCACCATGCTATTAATGGGAAAAGCAACTATTTCGACTGGGTCATTTTCAATAGTTATTTTGACATAACCAGAGGGTATACCATCCAATTCACTTTTATCCAAGTAACCCCTCACGCTTGAAAGGTTCACCGCCAGAATTGACAGTAATCGTATAGTCATTATCCATCCCATTGCGCCGTAGGTAAAACAATGCCATAAACACACCATCCCCCAGTACCATTTGTAAAGGTGGTATGTTTACCATTTCCATTGAGGTGCCCCCAAAATGTGATGTAAGTTGGTTTATAAACCATGGTAACTCAAGATATATCATGATATATCATTATATATCTACCATGAACCATCATCATGTGCGTAAAACATATGGTAAAACAATGTCATAATCCACCCATGTCATAATCCAATGTCATAATGGGTGGATTATGACATTGTTTTACCATATGTTTTACGCACATGATGATGGTTCATGGTAGATATAGAATGATATATCATGATATATCTTTAGTTACCATGGTTTATAAACCAACTTACATCACCTTTTGGGGGCACCACCTATCGGACCTATCATGTCACCATGACGGTGCCATGACTATAGAAACTCCACCCCATCCCGGAGTCCAAATCCCCGCCTGGCCACTTGCCTTGGCATGTTGAGCCATGGCTTGCAATGCCTGGACGTCTTTGTGCGCGTGGGCCTGGCGACTCATGGAGGTCAGTGATGTCAATGACGGCCTTTCGATCCAGGACACGCTAACAATTTAAACGATGGTTAAAATCACCATGCTATTAATAGGTAAAGCACCATTTACCATATGGAAACTAACTAAATACTAATATATAATTATGGAAACATCATCACCATGCTATTAATGGGTAAATAATCTATCTGGTCCATCTATAGCGAACTGTTCAATCACATTACCCCGATGGGTAGCCTTCGTCAAACGTGGCGAAATCAATCGAACTCATCGAAGCGCTAGTCTTTTCCAGCCAAACTCGAGGCATTCTGATCAGAAATTCATCGGCTATCGATGACGACAATCCTAAAATCCCGACATGTTCCGACGACTCCACAGGACCCTGCAGCCGAATCAAATTCCAAAGGCCCCTTATCGGCTGCAAAACCTTCACTCCGACTTAAATTATGAATAAGTTTGAATAAAACATGTTAAATTACAGGGATTCAAACATTGTACGGTCAGAACATGGCTACCAGAGGCTATCATGCCATCCCTGAGTCTGAAGCGACTTCTTCAGGACATACTAGTCGGACTCGGACCATGTTCCATCATGTTCCACATGTTCAATTCTTCAACAGATAGCATATCAATTCCATCTGGCAATTTTTAAATGTTTACCAGATAGCTATGTTAAACTCCATGGATTTTCAACATAGTTCAACAATATCAAAGAAACATCAAGATATCTGAGCTGATCAAGTTTTACTTACTTTGTTTTACCACAACATACCACATCATGCCGTTGGGAAACTCTTACTGATGGTTAGCTCCAAAGGTGATGGTGCCGGATAGACTGTCTGTTCAGCTCCAGGAGCATCTGGCAATTTAACATAGCTATGGAAAATAGTGTCAATTCATCACTTTAAAAAAGGTAAATTTCAAACTAAAATAGGCACTGTTCCATAGCAAACGCTGAAGAATTCACCAAGAAGTGAACTAAATATCACAGTACAAGTACTTCACCAGAAGTTAAGCCACTTCGAAGCTCCCTCCGAACTTAGTAATCAAATAAACTCCGTTCATATTAAACACCCCCAGAAAGTGGACGTAGGGATTGACACATATCATTCCCCATGGGGTGTTTCATATGGAGGATGGGATTCGCTCATGATTTTGAGCTCTGAAATCACGATCTTTCTGGATGGCACCAGGGAAAACCTCACGGAGATTCGTGGCTTTTTGTGGGTAAAACAATGCCATAAACATACCACCCCAAAAAAAAATGGAAATGGTGCCACCATATACCATCTATACAAATGGTACTGGGGGATGGTGTGTGCAAATGGCATTGTGAATTACCCACATGATCTGGCTTACGTGGCGTGGAGATAACCCGGGGATTCGCCTCTGCGGCTTGGGCGTTGAAGGATGCTTCCAACTCCATGCGTTTCAGCCGAGCGGCCTCAAAAAATCATCAAAAATGCGGACCAAATCGTCAAAAAAACTGATGGCTGGTTGACCTACCCCTCTGAAAAATATGAGTTCGTCAGTTGGGGTTACTATTCCCAGTATATATATATATGGAAACATAAAATTCATGTTCCAAACCACCAACCAGTATGTATATCGTCATCTATCCCACATATGATTCATGTTATTCGCGGAATATTAATACTAAAATCCTTGAATGCCCCAGCTGCTTATAGATCCTGATTCCGATCCGCCTCTTCGTCCCTCATGGCATCCAAGGCTGGCATCAGAACCTGCGCGTCTCGAAAGGGGGAAACCTTGGAGTTTCCATTATGGGAACCGATAACATTGGATAACATTGGATAACTAAACGGGATGATCACTAATTCCAGTGATGATCATTGGATAACATGGGGTAACAAAGCAATTCTTAGTATCCAATATGTAAGACATTTAGTACCAATTCTGACGATATATATAGGATCGTAAATTCTTACTAAGATTCCCATTTCTGACGATTTTTAGGGAGGACCATCCCATTTAACAAGTGCTTGGTAAGTGGACTCATAAGCCAGCTTTACATGAACGGCACTCAGGATCACTCAGGTTAAAAAGGACCTAAAATGGGGGGATGTAACACATTTCTTGGAGATCTCAGGAAAAAAAACATGAATCACGATACCCTAAGGTTAAACATACAAACGATATTAAACGATGTAGAACACATATGAGGAAAGCCTAGGAAAATGATTTACAAATAGTGGGTTCTCCACATCGAACTGTTAGTTTGGAGAGTGACGAAGCCATTCTCAAGCCATTCTCAAGCTATTCGGAATAATAAAGCCAATGAATCATCTGGACCCCCAACAAATTCTTTGTAAGTCATTGGGGATGGGGTTTATCACACATATGTCACGGTGGTTTTATAGATGATCAGGACATGCACAGATCCAGATTTTGCGGAAGGGAACTTCAAAACGAGCAATAATCATGGGCTGATAATATGGCATACTCATGGAACATGAGTATTCCAACTTGTCTTGTTTCGTGACCATTGGATCAAATGTCCCGTCACAACCATTGGATCACCTTTGGAGGCACCAAGGCTTGAGATTCAACACGGGAAATACCTACAAGGTGGTGCCCCCAAAATGTGATGTGAACGTTGGTTTATAAGCCATGGGAATAGTATGTCAATATATCTACGGGAAAGACAATCATCCGCAACAATGAGTAGCTAGGAGGATTAACTTTTGGGTAAACATCATCAGTTTCAGGGTAATTACTAATTACCTAAATAAGTTTCAGGTAACACCATGTAACACCAAACCAATAGCAACAAGATGCGAAAAACAACATGTCAAAGCCTAGCCACAAGCAGTCTGCTAGCGCTGTTACTCAGCATATTTACTGTAACTTGCCGTGTCAAAACGATGGCGCGCTGGGCTCCTGTCCTCCGATTTCCGATTTCCAGAATTGGAACGACAGAAACAAAAATACACGAAAAATTACTGGAAACAGAATGGTTTCCTTTAAAGTTTCCTGTAAACACTCTAAACATCTCTAAACCCCTTAAGTCAATTTTCACATTCCCTAAGGATTTTGATCCCGAAAAATCGACGTTTGGACCAGCGCATGACTCCACCTCAGGCACTTCAAGGCCCAAGTCTTCAGCCTCTTTACTCCTTGGACACCAGGGAGGACATCCTCCAAGAAATTGCTCAGAACGCTTGGTTGGGAACATTGGGTCATCAACAAATCGAGGATTTTTAATCGACAAACAACGCCAAAAATCAAACGCTTTTTTCGTCAATCATATGAAAAACCATTTTTATTTCATCAAATCATTGATAAATCATCATCGCTATACCGGCTATAGCCTGTTATAAATCGTCACAAAAGTGGACCCTCCGTGGGATCGGGTGCTGGGGCGCCCGAGCCAAAAGACGACGCCCAAACGATCCGCATCTCGTAGACAGGTGCTGAGGCATTGCCAAACTCCCTGCCGCACTGAAAGAAGCAATCATTTCATACATGCATATATATATATATATATATAATATACTTAGATATAGACATTCCATATGTAGATATATGACATTAAAATTATATACATATATATATGTGTGTGTACACCCTCTGGCAATCTAGAACAAAGCTATAGACAATTTGTACGCTTAATTGGCAAATCTAAAAATGGACCATGTTCCATAGCTGTGTTGAATGACCAGAGGGTATATACATGCCATGCAATATGTAGGTACGTATATATATATATGTATATATATATATATGCAAGTACCTTAAATCTTAAGATATCCAAATCGATAGCATCTACCAAACATCATTGCACACATTAGTTACATGGCAAAAAACATCTTCAAATGGAGACACTCACTCTGATTAGTGGTTTCAACCCATCCCTAACATGTGAAAGCCCGACAGAATGACTCAGAATGCAATCATCCTATGCATGTAGGGATGGAACGAACACAATTACAGTAATGGAACTGCTAGCCACTAGCCAGATCCTGTTGGTGAAACCTAAGTTTCCATGATGTTCCATGTATCTGAGCAAACAAGTGTAAAGCTCTCAACTCTACCTATCTCTACCTATCTCCGACTTGATAACCATTGATCATTCATCACCCAACCGGGGCCCACCGGGCCCCACCTCCACTTCTTCCAACTTCTTCAACTCTTCCAAGCGTTCCGTGATGGCTTTCCGTTCCGGTAGGCCCAGCTGTTGAGCTTCCTGCTGGGAAACCCATGGTGACGACTGGGGATCCCAAAAATGACTTAAGAACCCCCCATATAGCAACCCGTTGAACATGCTTGAAAGTGAAAGCCCTAAACCCAAGTTAGGTGGTAAAAAAGGAAGCTGTTTTATACCAAAAAAACTGATAGAACCTGCCAAAAACATGTGTTTTTTCATCCCATCCTTTGATCATAGGCGGAAAATCACATTCATCATGGTGGAATCTCATCATCTGAATGCAGTTTACTCAAGGGCATATGCTCATATGCTCATATGCTCATAAACTTGATGGTGGGTTAGTACATCACCATAAAATCTCCGCAGTTCATCGATTTGGTATCACCCTTTGATAAATAACACCATCATATACAGTATAGGTAAATATCGCGTTTTAAATGTCATATGCAATATCCATACCACTAGATATCCCATCACTATATCATAGCACTAAATACGCCACTAAATATTTATTAGACAACTGTAGATATCCACAGCACTACCATCTGGTTATTTAACATAACCATGGAAAATCACAATTTTTAATAGGTAAACCAACTATTTCTATGGGCCATGTTGCATGGCTATGTTGAATAACCATAGGGTAAATATCTTGTTGGCATCCCATCTGCCATCAACTTTTTCTCATCCCTTCCATCGATGCCTCGATTGCCAAGCCCAAAGTAGTCGCATCTGCATGTTGGTTTTGCCTCAGGGGTCAGTCATGGCTCAAAAAGTGCCCCAAAAATGGCAGTTTGATCCCCAAAAAATGGAGATGTGATGATGAGATAGACGTGTTTTTACAACTTGCCTTTTTTGAATCTTAAATCAAAGATTTTTTGTCAAAGAAAAAGAGTTGAACATTCATGATGTATCACCCATGACGGATCCATGGTGCTGGTATATCTGCTAACATCAATGGGGTATATTAATGGGATCCATGTTACCATATATATGGCAGCACCATGGATCCGTCATGGGTCATAAATTCTGGCCAGCTAGGTCCATTCATACGCTACATGAGATTCGCCTAAGAACAGCAGGTCTGGACCACCATAGAAGGCTCTGTCGGCTGATGTTGGTTGATGTTGGTTGATGTTGGTTGATGTTTATTACCGTAGCAAATCACGAGTTTTCAACACTACATCTGGGATAATGACTAAAGTGACTAATATGTGTTTGGGTCTTGATGGGTCTTGTCATGGTGATTTTCTTGACCCAGACTCATACATCATTGCAATAAAAACAAGTCATGCATGATGTTCTCATGGTTCAACAAGCTCAACAATTTGGTGTTTCCGAATCTACAAAAATCAATTCCTTAAATAAGAAACATATAAACAATTAAACATGAGTATTGATACCTCCCATCCTTACACTCAGTAGATCAGGGAAATGGTGGTGCTAGATTTGTTTCCTTTATCTGAGAATTTAGAAAGCCAAATGGTAACATTGGGTACCTGGTTGGTGGTTGACCTACCCCTCTGAAAAATATGAAAGTCAGATGGGATGATTATTCCCAATATATGGAAAGTAATAAAATTCCATTGTTCCAAACCACCAATCAGTTTAGTACATCCATAAAATCAATGACAAGTCCATGAACCATCAGTAGATTTATGAGAAATAGTATTCCCTAAAGCTTCCCTCAGAAACCACCAATCAGATATATTAGGTTCCGTTATGTTCTGTTCACTGAAGAGCTTGCTTGTGTTGATCCCGTGCAAAGCGTCATAAATTGCCCGTCCCCCGTCCGCTTCGACCCGGCCATATCACCCAGTACCCGTGAAGGATCCATGGTGCTGGTATATCTGCTAACATCAATGGGGTATATTAATGGATATTAATGGTAATTGTTACCATATATGGCATACATGGATCCTATGGGGTATGAGATATGTTAAGTCAAATAATTTCCTTAAAAAAAACATGAGGGACTTGTTAAGTCAAAAAAAACAAGAATCATATCTAGAGATGTGTTAAGATGTGTTAAGTATGGAATCTCATCACATCGCCATCCTGGTAATCCTTTCGGAAAAACATCGGCGTTCGTAAAAAAAAACGAGCTGCGAGACTGCATCCAGGACCTACCCGAGGTGTCCGCGGTTCTGCTATTGAGGGGATCATGATGCATCTCCCATGATCTTAGATATAAGATCCTAATATATCTTTAATTTAAGATTCTGAAGAAACTATATAAATGATTGTATTTTATATGGCATATATATTTTTATATGTCATCTATTTATCATGGGGACATGCTCAGATATAGTGGGACTAGAATGGGAAGTTCTGTTGTCTCAGGCGAACATGGGGAACATGGTGGTTGATTTTCAGCCGCAAAAAGAACTTGCCGTTCATAAAAAAATCCTGGATGTGCGCTATTCAACATTCAACATCATTCAACCACTATGTTTGATGTTTCGTGCTGAACTGGAGATTGATCCAGCCCGTAGAGTATTGAGACAATATGAGACAAACATCATATGGATATCGCAAGAGCTGTTTGGACCGCTTGGAGCCAGGGATATGATATAAGTCAATTCCCAATATGAAGGGAGGCACCAAAATCCTGATTGGATCTGATTGGTAGATTGGCAAAGAAATGAGAGAGCCTGCACTTTGAGACCAAATGCAATGCATGTTGGTGTTTCTGCTTAGGGACATTCAGATCATTTCCAGTCAACGTAGCTTGTAGATGTTGCGTTTCTGCGTTATTGCACAGAATTGTGGACCGGCCCTGCGGATCCTAAAAAACGCTAAAAAGAACGAGAGAAACCTTTGTTGTGCATCTTTTCACAGTTTCCATGTAGAAGATTACAGAACAACCACTTCTGAAAATATGTGATTGCCCTCATCATAACACTTGATCGTACTTCATCCATTTCTCATTTTGAAATCAAGCACCCATGGTTCCCTTCTGTTCCACAGATCCACGAAGATCCATGACGTTCCATGATGTTCCATGATGATCCATGATGATAAATTGTAGTACTTCACAACCCAATGAAGTACATTTGGCTTTTTCAGGATAGTGGAGCCCAGCATTCCGTCGAAGTGTCGCAAAAAAATTCTCCAGTGACCTGACGGACGCAGTACTCCGCAGAGGTGTTGATGCGATTGTGAAGACACCGCCATTCTTCGAAGACTTCTTGCAGCCGATCTTCCTCGGTCCAGTGCAAGCTGGCGCGCAAGCGCATCTTGCGCTAAGGGGTGACAAAAGGAAGCTACTGTGGATGGAAGAAATCCTGCACCAGTTGATAGATGGTTTATCCCATTATTTATAGGGTTTCAACCATCCAAGGTGGTGTAGGATTTCTTCCATCCACTGTAGGTCAAACCAGGAGAAGGCATTAAAAGTGCCTTCTGAATTTATGGCAATGCGGTATCACTGCTCGGAGACTCTGTTTTAGGTCCGATATGTGGGATATGCATGGATATGCCATTTTCACAGCTACGATTTTGGGGATTAGACAATTTCAAAATAGTTTTAGAAGGTGTTCCATGAAAAAAGGGTACACTGAGCTATTTCTTGGTTGAATTTGTAGCATTTTGTAACAAACTCTGGTTGGATATAGGTTTGTCCTTCACCATTTGATAACTGGGACGGAAACCCAGTTGATGTGGACTTGAATGCTGCAACTTCGACCAGCCATAACGGGCCAGCTGCACAAAGATTATTAACAATTGCATACAATTGCGTCATGTTCAGTGTATCTCTTGGTTCTTTTTTCAAAGATTCGGCACGACCTTCAACTCCAATCTTCATCAAACCAATTGCGGGATGTACTGCCTCTCCAAGGAGCGATGCTGATGCGAACTTCTTTGCACATCAGCGCCTGGTGCTGACACGTCTGGTATTTTGAGATCATTTAAAACCATTCCGGCATTCCTTTACTAGTTCGAAAACAGAAACATAGCCAGGAATCACAAGCACAGGTTTGCGGAAGAAGTGCCATGTTGTCGTCAGTTCCACCTGTTCTAAAGGGGCTTTCCAATAATTCACCAACTTCGTTATGATATTTATATTACTGATGGATGATTTCGGGGTAGTTCCCCTTCCCTTCCCTTTCACCATCATATTCATAGGGCTTGGGTTCGGTCGCAACATAATCACTGATATATCATGATATATCTACATATATACGCCCTCATGGGTCCAATCACTATTTGTCATGAGTCATATTTGTGTCATCCCATTGATTTAATCTCCGCTGTGGTGGCTTATATAATTTAAGCCATCTGTAAATCCAAAAGTTTGATCCATGATTCCGCTGCTTTGCTTGTGAAAAAAAACAAGTTTCATTCTTGTTAATCAGGTTCAATTCCCAATACTTTATGAGTTTTAGATAGCTTTAGCATACTAAAACCAATTTTAAAACCCATTTTTAAACCTATATAGAATCAGTTACAAATCCCATAAGTCAGCTATAAATCCCATCAAATCCCCTATGTTTCATTGTTACCCTCTGGTAATTTAACACAGCTATGGAAAATCACCATTTTTTCTGGGAAAATCCAGTGTTAATGGTTATTTTCAATAGCTACGTTAAATTACCAGAGGGTAAATCCCAATGTTTCCCTTAAGGCCACTGCTGTCTATAGACAGCACCTGTTGTTGCAGAAGCTCGGACAAAACCTCTTCGGCTTCCTTCAGAGGGTCTGGTCCTTGTGGTGAACGGTTTGCAGCATACCGTCATGGGGATGTAATGGGATATGGGAATATCTATATATCATAGAAATATCATGGATATATATATATATATCACCTTAAATGACGAGGGCTAGGATAATTTTGGCATTATTTTAGTAGGATTTGGTTGTTCAGTTGTTCAGTTCTATCTTTTGTGAGGTTGCTAATAATGTAGCGGTTCAATATGTAGTGACCAAGTTCAGTAGAATCTTTTGTGTATGACATTGTCAAAGGTGGAGTTTTTTGGTTTTTCAGTGTAGGTTTCACCAGGGGCCTGGCTGGCCCACGTGCATATCACGGATGCAACCCATGTGCATGCTGACAGGGATCCCAAAAAAGGATAAAAAAAGGTGTTTGAGTTCCTCAACTTTGATAGATCAACATGACATTTTTTCGTGGCTTCACTCTGGCAATCATTTTTTCATTCAAAATCCAGGGGATGGTCCTGGTGGAGCTTCAAATGCCTGGCTTGACCAAGGGATTCTAAGGGAAGGATCTGGATCTGTGCAACATTTGAGATGGAAGATATCAAAGGAACAGGAAGGTACTGAGACATATTTGTTTTATGTTGTTTTACTTTTCTTTGTTTCCTGTTTGAGATGGTGGAACTCATGGTGTTTGAGCAAAACAGAATTTCTACAAACTGCGAAGCTTCCTCAGCTTATCATCTGGCTAACTCGAAGTCTCGGATAGATGCAACTGATTGTTCTTAAGTGGAAGAAAGATCATTGCAAGGTGCCCTAGGTGCCCTCGGTGCCACCGATTTTTCAGGGATCTCGGATATATTATGCAAGTAATGCAAGAAATCCCATCACTTGCGGAGCTGAAGCCAACCCCAAGAGTTCTTTTCTCAAACACATCAGGGCTACTTGGCAAACAGCTCCCCAAAACCATCACCAGATTGGACCAGGTTTCAATATTTTTTGTGCGTCTCGACATATGTCACCTCCAAATGGTTCCAAATGGTAATAACGTGCTTTTCTTTTAATACATCCGGAAAATCAATGACAAGTTCGTGAACCATCAGTAGATTTATGACAAATAGTATTCCCTAAAGCTTCCCTCAGAAACATGTCTCCTATATTTTCTTATTTAAGGATATTTAAGGGTTATATTGGGGGTTATTTCGAGATGATAGTGATTTGGTAATTGACTACTAGCATTATATTGTCAAATGCAGATGCAATTGAAATCAACATATGTTGGGTTATACAATAAACATGAGTAAATGTGTGTCACACTCTGGTGCCTTAGGATTTCCGAACATCGGGGGTAAGTTCTGAATCAGAAACAACACCCAGTCATCGCACTTGGCCTGTTCTTGTGGTGAATCGGGATCCTGAGGCAGCTGGAATTGGAGAATTTTGGATACTTCCAAAACAAAAGTAACGTGTCGTCTTAGCTGGGCATCTTACGTCAAATTGAGTTGATTTATATTGTTCCAATTGTGTGAAAATTGTGTTCATCGTTCCCTTTGCACAATAGAAATCATCTCTGGCAGCTCGCCGGAAGCGGAGAAGAGGCTGACTCAATATGGGAAGACAATTGCTGTGATAGGTATCAAACAAAAGGGAAGGCAATGATTCATTCAAATGCTATTTTTTCAAATGATTTGCTAATATTATGCTTTATCATAACATCTTCCACTGAGGAATTGGAGTCATTTCGGGCTGCATGATCCAGCCATGTGGGCAAATAGTCTTGGGCCCCTCAAATACGTTTGAGGCTTACTTCCATGCAAGAAAATGTATAACATTTAGCCATCGGACATTCATCACATGGGATTTTTGTTGACTGCCTGAAGAACCGTTCGCGATGCTCATCCTTCTCAATGGATTTGCTGAATTCAACTAAGTGTTTCTGAAACTTAAGGAGAGGGAAGGCAGGTTCCGCTGAATATTGCAGCCCAAGGCACGCCAAGCGGCTGGAAAAGTGCAGCTTCTGGGACAAAGAAATCCGCCTGAAGTCCAAAAATGACTCGCAAAAACCACAGTTTTCTGTTTTTCATTGCATGGCAAACCTCGGATACTCTGCAGTGCTCTGCAGACGACTCACTTTGTCTGCTTAGATCTTCTCTCCCACTACTGAAACACAAGGACTCACCAAACCTAGTTTAATTCAGAAAGTGCTACAGATTTTGGGTGGGTCAAGGCATTCTGTGGGATATCCACACTAGGCCAATAGGTGAAACACAAAAGAAACCCTTGGCTCCGGCCAAGACAGAATCATAAAAGTTCACGCCTTTCAAATCATTGAAAGGTCTTCCTAGCGCTAGGCTCATCTCATATCTATATACTGTACATGTGTATATATATATATGACACACATATATATATATATATATGTACACATATGATCTTTCAACCCATGTGTGATCACACTTATGTAAGTGCTTTGGGCAAAATCAAGCATCATCATACTCAACACACCACACAAATTCACACGTTCAACGCATTCAAAGGTGTGGGCTCGGCGGCTGCTGACTCTCGTCAATTGGCCAGATGGGTGTCGATACCCTAAAACCATGGTTGTTACAGTACCAACATAGATCTGGGGGTACCACATTTAAACGATTGGATCTGGCTTTAGTTTGTTTTGGAGAAGACCAACTGTTGAATCGTGGGAACATCGCACATCTTGTTCTTTAATTTCAATAACATATTGGGTTGGGTCAAAACATCCTATATATATATACACATATCCTTACTTGCATAATTAAAAATTACTTTACTTCGTGTGATCCCCACCATGACATTTATACATTTTCTTACTGGCAAATCTTCTGGCATTCTATCTGACATATCTTCTGACATTCTATTTGACATTCTATCTGGCATATCTTCTGGCATATGATCTGGCATATCTTCTGGCATATCTTCTGGCATTCTATCTGGCAAATCTTCTGGCATTCTATCTGGCATATCTTCTGGCACTCTATCTGACATATCTTCTGGCATTCTATCTGGCATATCTTCTGGCATATATTCTGACATATCTTCTGGCATTCTATCTGACATATCTTCTGGCATATATTCTGACATATCTTCTGGCATATCTTCTGGCATATCTTCTGGCATATCTTCTGACATATCTATCTGGCATATCTTCTGGCATATTTTCTGGCATTCTATCTGGCAAATCTTCTGGCATTCTATCTGGCATTCTATCTGGCATATCTTCTGGCATATTATCTGGCATTCTATCTGGCATATCTTCTGGCATATATTCTGACATATCTTCTGGCATTCTATCTGGCTTCTATTTGGCATTCTATCTGGCATATCTTTCTGGCATTTTCTGACATTCTTTCTGACATTCTTTCTAATTCTTCTGCACATTCTTTGTCCCATATCTTCCTACATGAGGTCCGGCAGGGAACACTTGGCGTGGATACTCGCGGTTGAGGTCCGGCAGGGAACACTGGGCGGGATGGTCGTGTTGAGGTCCGGCAGGGAACACTGGGCGTGGTGGTCGTGGTTGAGGTCCGGCAGGGAACACTGGGCGTGGATGGTCGTGGTTGAGGTCCGGCAGAGAACACTGTGGATCGCGGGTCGCAGTTGAGCAAGGACGACGAGGACGACGAGGACGACGAGGAGGACGAGGAGGAGGAGGAGAGGAGGACGAGGCAGGACGAGGCGGAGGAGGAGGAGGAGAAGGAGGAAGGAGGAGGAGGAGGACGAGGAGGCAACTGACATAAAATCTAACAACCCTCACCTGGCAGGTGGGGAAATATAGCAATATAAACATATATACTGCATATATCTCTATGTAACATCCATATCTGCAGGTGACCGTCACCTTTCTACACATCTTGATGCCCCAGAACCCCCAATGGTCACACGTGTCGTGCGTTTTAAAACCGCTGCCTGTCTCCTCCTCCGAAGCTTGACACGACGTCGCCGTCGCGGCAGGGGTACCGTGAAAGGTGTGGGGTCCTGGGGCTGACAGCAATGTCATACAAGTACCACCTATGAAAAGTACTTGCATGTATATATGACTATATATAAATGTGTGTATATTATAAATAAACCACATAGACTATACCAGTAGTTTGGTAAACTACTGATTGCGATGATGATGATGATGATGATGATGATGATGATTTACCATATGGAGAGCAGCGACCCGCGGCCATTTTGTGCAGGATCAGTTTACGGGTCCCGAGTGCAACAGTTGAGCCTCTGCAGCATCTGCAGCATCTGCAGTGTCTGGTTCTTCTCCTTCTCCCTGGGGCTTTCCGTCAATGGGGGTACCCCAATAGCTGGATGGCTTACATGTTGGTGGTTTTAACCATCTTGAAAAATATGAAAGTTAATGGGAAGGATTATCCCATATATGAAATGGAAAATTAAAGCCATGTTCCAAACCATCAACCAGTTGTTTATTTCATGGAAAATCCGGAGATAAAATGGACGGTTGGAGCGGGGTACTCCCATGACTTTGGAAGCCTCCAACCCTGGAAACAGCTGGAAACAAACAAGTCAGCATCAACACGCAGAGGGTGGCATGTAAAGATAATAAAACAAACACGAGTCTTACATAAAGAACCAATGTGTGTATATAATATATATATACACATATCTGAGCTCCAGCTTCAAGTATCAGCCGCATACCACTGGTTCTATTGAAGAATAGACTTGAAGAAGTCTAATCGTAGTAGCTTTAATATCCAAAGACGACAGATCAAGAATGATGAAGAACTATATATCAGTAGAGCCTGCCAAATATGGCATCTGGTATCACTTGATCAAACTTTCTTTGAGCTCAGACGCTCACTTTCCAATTTCGCTTTTGTGTGGTGAAACGGCCAGTTTAAGGATGGTTTCAAACAGCGCTTTGAGTTTCCCAGTTGTGTCGATGATGCAAAACAAAAAGGCCAGGACCCAATAAGGGAACTTCATACATGTTCTCAGTCAATTATCGTCCCCCAGCTATGGAGATATCATACCCCAAATGAACATGAAACCCTGGTAGCTGGCAAATATCATCATCAGTAATCATCTACAATATCATGAAGAAAACATTGCAACACATTGTCTTGGATACTATGTTCTATCTATCTGTTTGTGTTTGACTGAAAAAGAAATAGATGGGAAAAACACAAAATCACATGGTTCATGTCTGCATTATCTGCAGTAAACATGATTTCTTTCAGAAACACATCCCCCCATTTTGAGACAAATGCACCTTTTTGGGGGTTAGTACCGGTTAATACCCATGAACAGTCATTGTATCCATCAAATACGGTCATGAATTGCATGTATTACTAGGATTTGCTTAAGGGGTCCCCAACCAAAAAAAAAATCACTATAGATTCCCCAAAATGGTGGATTTTCGATTAGGAAAATTAAAAAACACCTTAAACAAACCCATGATTAATTAATCTGCGTGTTGAATGTATCAAAACGATCTTCGATTCATATCAACTTCATCCCTTGATCTCACTTCAGATTCCCACAATAAAACTGCCCTCCGAGAATCAAACATAGCTGGTTGGTGGTTGACTAAACCATCTTGAAACATATGAGTTCGTCAATGGGAAGGAGGACATCCCATATATGAAATAGAAAATAAAAATGTTTGAAACCACCAACTAGATAGCAATTGGAAATAGATGTTTTTAACGATTAGTGGGACTGCTATCATCTATAAATGGTCTCAATGTGATTAGATACGAGATGGGGTCAGATATCAATGTGGTTAGATAATCTCAATTTTCATGTATATACATATGATATGGTTGGATATGAGATGATATTGTGGGTGAATTCCAACAAGCAATATTTGCTTACCAGAGGGTTGGCTCAATAAGCTCCATCCTTGTTCCCCCCAACACCTCCAACGGGGGCCCTGAACTGGATGCTGCTGGCCCTTCATCCGCCTACACGTTGCATGGTAAACGCCAGGAGTCAATGAACAAAAAGCAGAATACCGATATACATCGATATGGCTATGGGTCAAAACCCTGGTACCTAGTGAACCCCAAAATAGATCAAAATAGCTGGTAAATGGATGTTCATCCCACTAAAAATGTATCTATAGGTATTGACCCATACCCATATACCAAATTGCTTATAGAAGTCTTACTTGAGTATCAGTACCAAAAATAGATGTACTGAACTGTACAACCAACAAAAGCCAAGATTCTTGTCGCAAAGAAATTGCATCTCAAAAATTGCTCAAACCATTAACCAAATCTTATCGGTGCTTCGGTTTTGAGCCTGTTGACTGTATTTTATCAATTCCAGCTTATCAAGAATCAAATCCGGCACTAGATGATAAGTTAGATATGTCAAAGTTACCAGTCCCAGCCATGTTCAGTCCCAAACGCATGAAAATGTTGATCGTCATACCCTTTTTCGGCCATGTGTCGTGGTTTTCAGTCCCGAATTCCCAATTTTGTCGATGGACTTCCCACATCAACCTCCAGGATTTCGGCCACATGGTCTGCCTTCGCTTCCTTCACCGTGAAGATGGTCATTGGATTGGTTTAAGGGAAAATTTACAGGAAAAACCCATATTTAATGGTAAAAACCATGGTTTCCTGTAGATTTTCCCTTAAACCAATCCAATGAGATGGTGATTCCCAGGGTATCTTTTGGAGAATCACCATCGATGACCATGGCACACAACTCGTTTACCATTGGAGATGACATGGATACACCGGCGAAGTTGTCTATGTCCAAGCTGTGGGTCTGTTGAAAAACGAGAAGACAGGTGTAAATCTCAAGAGACTGAGAAGAGACCGTTATGTTTGTTGATTTATGAAGCCCAACCAAAGGTGTATACATATATATATTTATATTTATATCTCTCCTATGGATCCAAACACTGTCGGAGAAGGTACAAAAAAGCCTCCAAATCATAGTAAATTATACCCCACACACTTCCTAAGAAGGTACTTGGATCCATAGGGATATATATATATATATATATCAAATAATTTCATATGATAGCATTGCCATCAGCTATAGATGTATCAACTTGTATTAACTATAGAAGCTAATCATAAACTATAGGTCATGATATATCAACAACCTAGTTGTATATTAGTTCTGAATCAACTTAGCACAACTTAGCTACTTTCTAACTGGAGAATCTGAAATGTTACCAGGCCTCTGTCAGCCTGACCTCTAACCATGGTTCTTAAGTTTACCCTCCAAACATGGCTGGAAAATCATCCAGCTATATCTGGGGGTGTCCTAAAATGGGGCTACCCCAAGTCACCATAGGTTTCAATACTTCAATGGTCGTTCATGACTTGGATGATTTGGGGGTATTCACATTTTAGGAAACCTCCATTTATAGATGATGTTCATTGATTTTCCCACTGCAAGCTCCATTTCAAGGGGATGTTCAATGCCACGTTTGATCGCTGGAGGGTACCACTATCTAGTAAATGTTGCTTGGCTATTGCTATCTTTTTTGGTGTGTGCCACAAAATTAATTCTATTCATATATATATACTGTATATCATAGTATGTTTAAGTTGCTTTAATTATAAGTACCAAGCGAGTAAATTTGAGTTTTATGGCTCATGCGAAACCCCAAAAAATGAAACCCAATGGATTATAATGTGGGTAAAACAATAATTAAACCATCCCCCAATCATCAGCATCTTATAGGATAATTTTTATCAAACCATTCCCAGTCATGGGTGGTTTATGGCCAATTCAGGGTCCCATTCCCCACTTTGTCCAGGTGGCCATGGAGAAGCCAGAATCAGGTTGGTTCTAAGACATGCACTGGATACGTCCTCCATATTCAAAGATGGACGATAGCCTCTGGTAGTTTAACATAACTATTGAACATAGATGAAAATGGCCCAAATGTCTCATATGTAGTTGATTATGTTGATTTACCTATTCAAAATCTGATTTTACATAGCTATGTTAGCTATGTTAGTTTAGCACAAAGGGTAACTTGGGTTCCCCCATGACTTGGGAAAGCCACGATCACGGTCCATTCACATTCCCCGACCGGGTCCTGTGGAGGTTCTGCCGTGCCACTGGACAGTGTACTGGCTTCAGGCTCAACGCCATCTTTGGCCAAGTCCTCTGCGGCCTTTCAAGCGGAAAAAAATGCCACAAGAATCCATGAATTAGCATAGTCGTTCCCCTGCCAGGTGAGGGTCTCTAGATTTTAACAAAGGTGCAACTCACCCACCCAGCCACTCACTCCTAGTCACTCCGGATGCAGCTGGGCACGCCTGGATTTGAATGCTATCTCGCGAGTGGATGCAGTGGGCACGCCTGGGCCCGAACTCCATACCGCGAGCGCAGAATGCAATGGCGCCTGGACCCGAACACATGCCAGAATGCCAGACAGAATGTCAGAATATATGCCAGAATGCCAGATAGAATGTCAGCATAGATGCCAAATAGAATGCCAGAAAGAATATCAGATAGAATCCCAGAATAGATATGCCATCTATACTTCCAGATGGTATGTCAGAAACTATGTCAGAATAGTCTGTCAGAGCGGGGATCACTCGAATAAAGTTGTTTTTCTAGGGATTATTACTGGTTGGTGGTTTCAACCCCTCTGAAAAATATGAAGTTAGTTGGGATGATGAAATTCTCAATATATGGAAAGTAATAAAATTCATGTTCCAAACCACCAACCAGTATAATAAACCTAGAATGGGGAAATGCACGAACCAAACAAAGGGCTATGTTTTATGGTTTCAATCCCAACTGGACACATGAACCAGCAATGGATACAGGACTGGACATGGACACTGACCTTGGGGCCGCACATAAACTACACACCCCAGAACAATAAGTCTAGAACATCGATACCATTATATACCATGTGATTTGATTTCTGCACACCTGTGGGATACTTGGACTTTACATTCACTGGTTTCATGTTTGCAACAGCATGGGTTGACACGTTGCACTGTGACCATCTATGACCTGGAGTCTGTCTGCATGTTTTTCTCATCACGGATATGCTTCGCGCTTCCCGGAGTCCAAGCCTTCAAGTCTTTGACTCTAATGTTCTAAAGTTCTTAAATCAATGTGGTTGTTACATGTTGTTACTTTAATGAATTTAGACACATACGTGCAGTTCCATTGATGCCGGCAACAGCGCAAATCGTCAATGTTTGTTTGGGAAATGCTGGTCAGGAAACACTCCTGACTCCTGCCTGGTTTTCTGGCACTGTGTTCGCCACCGCTTTGGCATCATCAGTCACTGTTGACGTTGACGCTGCTTGCTCCTCTAGTGCCCACACGTATCCAAGGCATATATTCAACATTGACATGTGAGTGTGTCTGAAAATTGGGTATATTCCAGCTATGGCCAATGTAGTAGAGAAAGCGAAGATGAACCATAGAATTTGAGGGTACCCTAGACACACCCACGTATTCTGCATACATCCGCATACCTTCCACAAAAGTCCATGCAAAGTTGCAATGCCACTATACGGCGCAATCCTATTGGCAGAGTGCACGGCTCACTACAGTCACTACAGCAGAAACACATGGCGCAGTCCTCCGAATGCTGTTCACCATTGGTCACTCCATTGGTATCAGGCGACAAACAAGGCTCCGCATCATCAATGACTATGGCATCCTCTGCCTCAGGAGTGAAGAAATCATCTCTGTCCAACCTTCTAGGTACATTTCACCACAGAAAACAGCTGGCCTTCTTTGCTTTTCGTTTTGCTCGTGGCCGTTTAGGGGCAGCTTCAGATTTCTTCTTCCCCTCTTCCTCTCGGAAAAGCACTCTGCGGATTGATTATAACGTAAACTCTCTGCTAAGACCTCCTTCTCTCTCTCTCTCTCTCTCTTCTCTGTTGACAACTCCCCCGATAGTTTGCACAACACTAAAGTCGAGTCGTAATATTTTGTCTTCAGAACTTCTTGTTGCATGATAAAGAAAACCAAGTTCCGCTGCCAAAAACTCTGTCCTTCGAACACTCAGCTTCTGATGGCTTTTCTGCACTCTTTTCATCAACCTCTTTGGGTAGATTCTCAGATGCTTCTGCCACCATTTTGGATTCCACCTCAACACCAGAATCGCATTGTCTGGGAGTTCGCGAACTGCGACTCGCGACAATAACAGTAACAATCAAAAGGTGGAACAATTGGAAAGGGAATTCAGCTGAATTCAGCTTGTGAGCATGCATTGAGCATGCATATCTCAGTACACTGATACATAGTGCACCTTTCTCCCCCCGCACCGCACCTGCTTTGCTTTTCGTTTTGCACGTGGCCGCGCTTTGGCCGCAGTTTCAGTTTCCACGGGTTTCGTCTCCTGCAAGTTGCAACCGGCCACGTCCTCTGACGTGCAAGTCATCGGTGATTTGAGCAGTGGCTACCAGGGCCATCGATCAGCACATAGGGATAAGGATGGATAATCCATAGGATCCATGGTGCTGCCATATATGGTAACATTTACCATTAATATCCATTAATATACCCCATTGATGTTAGCATGTATACCAGCACCATGGATCCGTCATGGGATAAGGATGGATAAGGGAAATCGGTTTTCGAAAAAAAACATCTTCGCCTCCAGATTCACCATCAAGGCACTCTCGAGGATGGGCTCCTGACGTGCCAAGCGGGCCAAGCGCTATTTGTTGGTGAACATAGCTCCAAGAACTATGAGCTTTAGGACACTTACAATGTGAGGCCCCCCCGTGATGTTAGTTGGTTAACAAAAGCCACAGGAACCACAGCCATAAGTACCATAAACTATATTGGAGTTATAAACCAACTTAGCTATCTTGGGGGCCTCACATTGTATAAATAAAACATCTTATAACATCTTATAAGTATTGTATTCATGGGGTTTATATACACCAATTTATTGTAGGGGAGGCCCACGTTTTTTTTTGGGGATATGATATTTTTCATGGTACTCAAAAAAACTACACAACATTGGCGTTTATTCTTTGCAATCTTTTTCAGACTCCAAGAGTCTAAGTTGTCAGCAAACTTTCCAAAGTTGAGCCACTTCTTATCCCATCCAACAAGACTCTAAAGTCACGACAGGCAATGCCAAACAATGTGGCAAAAATGGGATTTGTTGGGACAATCCCAATTAAATTATCCCATGAATATGTATAGAAGCATATTTTAAGCCACGAATATGTATTGATATATTATATGTTTATCTATAAATGTTATATAAATAAAAACTTATAAGTATGACAATCTACCTCTACCACCCAATGCAGCCAGTCCTTCAAATGCTCTGGTGCACCATTCGTCACTCCATTGGCAGCAGGCTTTGCTGGAAATGGCTCAGCCGCATCTGTGACAAGTGGAGCTTCATCTTCCTCACCCAGAATTTGCCAATTTCTCTGAAAGTCGAGTCTGATAAGGGGATGATGGTAGACCAATAAACATGATAGCAATAATCATGAGATGATAATAGATGATAATTCCACTAATATACAATAATAAAATATAAACAATTCAAACGGTACATATATGTGAATATAGTAGAACCAACAAAATAAACCAGTATTTTACAACATAGGAGTTCTATCTTTGTGGGGTTACAATGTAAACTTTCAACATCACTCAACAACAGAAAAAAATCGTTCTTGGCATTGGTTCCTTGGCCTGATCATACATGGAATGTCACCATTTTGAATAGGTAAATCATGATTCGTATATATTTGTATCATCTATAACGGAGCCAAAATCCTTAGCCATGTTAACTAACCAAAGGGTAATTAGCTTGAATTGAAGTCCTTTCAAGTCACTGTTCTGTCAGCCGTAGAGAAACATATGATGTCCATTCATGCTCTGACACTATCAATGACACCCTCCTCCTACAGCCAATTGAATTGCAGTAACATATAATACAATATATACAAGCATGTTACTTGCAAGTTTGGTTTTATCTGCTGCTATCACTGGGATTATGGGAATAGGAGTGTGACTGAGGTTGTAACTATAGGGCTACAATTGAGGGTAGCACTTCGCACCGCACGCAATCGATCGCAACTATGAGGTCGGTCCTGCTTCGCTTTCCGCTTTGCCCGTGGCCGCAATTTAGCCGCTGACGCAATGGCGGCAATGACTTTGTTGGTGTTCGTTGTGACAACCTCCACCGGTGTTGAGAGGCAAGATGAGCCTATGCAATATAGTACCGAAAGGCAAGATAGTTTGGGATATACAGTAATGTTGGCTGCCTAATAGTAATTACCCCCCCCTATTTTTTGTTTTAAATTTTTAGGGGGGGTCAACCTTCCTATAATAATTTTTGGGAATCTATAGCTGGGATCATGATATGTATCTGATAGATTCTCCATGGTTTTGTTGGGTTTCTGATAGATTCTGAATGGATTTGGTTGGGTTTCTGAGAGATTGGCGAAGAGTTGGCAAGGCGGAAGTGGACATGGAAGTGGGGGCAGAGGTGGTGGAGGCGAAGGAGGAGGACGAGGAGGAGGAGAAGAAGGAGAAGAAGGAGAAGGAGAAGGAGGACAACAAAATTGGAGTTGCGGAAAAAAAGTTTCCACTATTGCCATGCCTGGTGCAGGTTTGTTATTGCTATTCTGGGGCTTGCAAAGGGGGTACCCTTTGTGGACCTGTTTTCTTGCTTTTTTTAATAAGGGTTTTATAAGGAAATCAGCTGTTTGGAAATTGGATCAGATTTCTGGAATCTAAGCTTTTGCTAATCAAAAGTGAAGGCTGCTTTGAAAAGGATTTGCTTTACTTGACTCTTTTGGCAATACTAAAAGTAAATGGAGCTAATTGACTTTTAGTATTGGAGAAAAAATTGGAGTTGGGAAAACAGTTTCCACTATTGCCATGTTGGGTCCACTATTGGCCATGCCCTCTGGACAAGGTCTGAACATGACTCTTTTGGCAATACTAAAAGTAAATAGAGCTATTTGACTTTTAGTATTGGAGAAAAATTGGAGCCGCGGAAAAATGTTTCTACTATTGACAAGATATCACTATTGGTCAGACAACATTATATTATATACACGTATGCAAATACACGTATATAATACACATTACATATATATATATATGATAATGATATATAAATATATATTCAAATACATACATATACGTGTATATATATATATATATATATTAGCTTTTTTAAAAGTCTCGTAAAAATATTTTTGTTATCTAGCGTACGTGTAGTGACGAGTGACATGAACGGGGGTATGAACGTGTGTGTGAACGACATGCGTGCGAGTGAACGTACGTGCGAACGTATGTATGTACGAGTGAGCGTACGTGCGAGCGAACGTGTGAGCGTACGTCCGTGCGTTTGCACGGTCACTCGCCACGCGCGCGCGCACGTACGAAAATAAGGTCGACTTGAGTCGACCTTATTTTTGCACGACCCTGCCTCTTTAGTATTGATTTAGTATTGTAGCGCTTTGCACGTGCAGAAATAAGGTCGACTCCAGTCGACCTTATTTTCGTACGTGCGCGCGCACGCGGCCAGTGAACGTGCAAACGCACGCTCGTACGCGCACACGTCCGTCCACTTGTACGCACACGTCCGTTCACTCGTTCGCTCACACGTGCACTCGTCCGTCCACTCGTTCGCCTTACGTTCGTCACCACGTCCGTTAGCCACTCGTACCCCCTACGTTCACCGCGTCTCTTGGAGCTTTAAAAGCATTGTTTACGAGGCTTTAAAAAAAGCTAATATATATATATATATGAATACAGTATATATTATTATCTATCTGTTTATGTAGTCATGAGGTCGATCTGATGAAAAGCGTGGGACATGTTCTGATTCACTAAGTGAGTGCCGTCCAATCCCATCCTATTTTCGTTCCCGTTGGTTCTGCCTAGAAATGGAATATGAGGTATACATAGTTATACCAAATAATTGCTATCTTAATACAAACAAAACGAGAAATCATTGGAAAGTGGGGTACCTGAATTCTTGGACAAACTCAAATAAGGGGCTAAAAAATGGGCTACCAAAGGACTCAATTGCCATAATGCACTTGGCTAATGTTTAGGACAGTTCAGGATGCACTGCTTTAACAAAATCATGTGTTTTGAGTTGATCTGGGGATCTGGTTTTTGAACCATTTCCATCCATTCGCATCATATGTCAATCAAACAGCGTTTTTCATTCGACCTTGTCCTCCGGCGTTGCCGCATCAAGGGTCGCTTCCGCCTACATGGCTCGATCCAAAGATATCCAGAGCTTTCAAGAGATGCAGGAGATAATATCTTAAGTGCACAGCATCTTAGGTGCACATGTGCCATTTGGCGTGGTTACTCTGAAATAGCATCTCGGAATCTCGGAAAAAAACAAACAACTTCCCTCAAAATGAAACTCACGACTAAACCACAAAAAATTGGCCAGGAAACTTGGAGATGTTCATCTGGAAAACCTCATCAGTGTCACCATTCCAACATATTCCAACCCCATCAGTCTCACCAGTCTTAACTCCGTCACAAATCTTTTCACCAGTTTGAAGCCATCAATGTCACCATCACAACGGAACCCCCAGCTGTCGAAGAACTATTGCTGTTCACCGTCCGTAGGCCTTCTTTTCGGCTGGAGCGGAAACGTCATGGCCATTTTCAGACAAATCCACGGTTGGTACATCTGCAACTGCTGATTCCTCCTCAGCCACGAAAAAAAGGGTCTTAAAATTTCACCCAAAGCCATGTGTGCAGATATGTGCCCACATTGCCCATATGTGCATGCACTTACCAACGCATAGCCAATAGTGATCAAATTTTCTCTTCAGAGGGGACCTTGGCATTTCCCAATCGCTAACTCAAACTTGCAAATAAGGTTTCGTTGACAAGGCCTTGCAAGGGTTTGTTCAGATATGAAAAGTCTATACACATATATCTGGGTAAATAATAAGAAATATATTAAATATTTCGCTCACCTGAATAGTTCGGTCATTTGGGGATAATTTGCCTAACAGTTAAAAAAACATGATTCCAGGTAACTCGGTAGAACAGGCTTCGGTTCTTTATGTTGAATCCCTTGGGTTGCTGCTATTACTGGGATTACGATGATTATGGACATACTGGAATTGTGACTGAGGGAACATGGTATAGGGCTACACATGGGAATGCTCATCCGGATGATGTGCAATGAATGTTTTTGTTTGAAGATTTTGAAGATCAACTCCAAAAGCTAGTGTTAAACATCCTCCGCCTTTCACAAATGAAGACTGTCCTGCTTCGCTTTCCGCTTTGCCCGTGGCCGCGATTTGGCAGCTGACGGAATGGCGGCAATCACTTTGTTGGTGTTCGTTGTGACAACCTCCTGAATGGTGTTGAGACATGCTGAGACGCAACATGAGACAGTACCAAGAGGATAATGAGCTTGGCATCTCCGGTATACGCCTTCATCGGGACTAACCATCAGGTCTAACCATCAGGTCTAACCATCGGGTCTAACCATCGGGTCTAACCACCAGGTCTAACCATCAGGTCTAACCATCAGGTCTAACCATCGGGTCTAACCATCGGGTCTAACCATCGGGTCTAACCATCAGGTCTAACCATCAGGTCCAACCAACGTTCTCTGATCATACTGTCGGCCTTGGTTTCTGTTGCACTTCACTTAGAAGTTCGCCTTCTAATCCCATCCATATGTTTTTGTCGTTCCATCCATTGCAATTGTGATGAGCAAACACATGATGACCCATAGGCCCCCTTGGGGTTTGCGATTACCCTACCTTTTCTGGACAAAAAAAACACATCATATGGATATGACGAAAAATCAGGTCCGGGTACCAACGGACCCACAAAGGAATGTTTGGTCATGTTTAGGACTTACTGTTCCAAGTAATCATCCTATCATATCCTATCTATCCTGGTGGTTGACTAAACCATCTTGAAAAATATGAGCTCGTCAAAGGGAAGGATGACATCCCATATAAAATTAATGTTCCAAACCACCAACCAGCTATCATATCCTATCCATCTTTTTGGGGAATGAATTCGATACATTCACAACATGTTGTCAGTCAGACAGCGCTTTTGATTCGACCTTGTCCTCCGCCGTTGCCGCATCAAGGATCGCTTCCGCCTACATGGCTCGATCCAAGATATCCAGAGCTTTCAAGAGGAAGATGCAGGAAGTATCTTAAGTGCGCAGATTCTTAGGTGCACATGTGTCAAAGCGTGGTTACCCTTAAAATTCAATGTCTTCATCTAAACCACCAGAATTTAGCCAGGAAACTTGGAGATGTTCACCTTGCCATCACTATGACCATTCTGGGACGTGCCCGCTGCCCTGGGCCTGCAACTTTGGCTGCTTTTCGGCAGCTGGAGCGGAAACGTCATGGCCATTCTCAGACAAATCCACGGTTGGTACATCTGCAACTGCTGATTCCTCCTCAGCCACGAAAAAAAGGGTCTTAAAATTTCACCCAAAGCCATGTGTGCAGATATGTGCCCACATTGCCCATATGTGCATGCACTTACCAACGCATAGCCAATAGTGATCAAATGTTCTCTTCAGAGGGGACCTTGGCATTTCCCAATCGCTAACTCAAACTTGCAAATAAGGTTTCGTTGACAAGGCCTTGCAAGGGTTTGTTCAGATATGAAAAGTCTATACACATATATCTGGGTAAATAATAAGAAATATATTAAATATTTCGCTCACCTGAATAGTTCGGTCATTTGGGGATAATTTGCCTAACAATTAAAAAAACATGATTCCAGGTAACTCGGTAGAACAGGCTTCGGTTCTTTATGTTGAATCCCTTGGGTTGCTGCTATTACTGGGATTACGATGATTATGGACATACTGGAATTGTGACTGAGGGAACATGGTATAGGGCTACACATGGGAATGCTCATCCGGATGATGTGCAATGAATGTTTTTGTTTGAAGATTTTGAAGTTCAACTCCAAAAGCTAGTGTTAAACATCCTCCGCCTTTCACAAATGAAGACTGTCCTGCTTCGCTTTCCGCTTTGCCCGTGGCCGCGATTTGGCAGCTGACGGAATGGCGGCAATCACTTTGTTGGTGTTCGTTGTGACAACCTCCTGAATGGTGTTGAGACATGCTGAGACGCAACATGAGACAGTACCAAGAGGATAATGAGCTTGGCATCTCCGGTATACGCCTTCATCGGGACTAACCATCAGGTCTAACCATCAGGTCTAACCATCGGGTCTAACCATCGGGTCTAACCACCAGGTCTAACCATCAGGTCTAACCATCAGGTCTAACCATCGGGTCTAACCATCGGGTCTAACCATCGGGTCTAACCATCAGGTCTAACCATCAGGTCCAACCAACGTTCTCTGATCATACTGTCGGCCTTGGTTTCTGTTGCACTTCACTTAGAAGTTCGCCTTCTAATCCCATCCATATGTTTTTGTCGTTCCATCCATTGCAATTGTGATGAGCAAACACATGATGACCCATAGGCCCCCTTGGGGTTTGCGATTACCCTACCTTTTCTGGACAAAAAAACACATCATATGGATATGACGAAAAATCAGGTCCGGGTACCAACGGACCCACAAAGGAATGTTTGGTCATGTTTAGGACTTACTGTTCCAAGTAATCATCCTATCATATCCTATCTATCCTGGTGGTTGACTAAACCATCTTGAAAAATATGAGCTCGTCAAAGGGAAGGATGACATCCCATATAAAATTAATGTTCCAAACCACCAACCAGCTATCATATCCTATCCATCTTTTTGGGGAATGAATTCGATACATTCACAACATGTTGTCAGTCAGACAGCGCTTTTGATTCGACCTTGTCCTCCGCCGTTGCCGCATCAAGGATCGCTTCCGCCTACATGGCTCGATCCAAGATATCCAGAGCTTTCAAGAGGAAGATGCAGGAAGTATCTTAAGTGCGCAGATTCTTAGGTGCACATGTGTCAAAGCGTGGTTACCCTTAAAATTCAATGTCTTCATCTAAACCACCAGAATTTAGCCAGGAAACTTGGAGATGTTCACCTTGCCATCACTATGACCATTCTGGGACGTGCCCGCTGCCCTGGGCCTGCAACTTTGGCTGCTTTTCGGCAGCTGGAGCGGAAACGTCATGGCCGTTTTCCTCGGGTCCAAGGGGCAAGGCCACAGCTCACCAGGTAGGGACCCACACTGAAACCAGCTTCAAGAGCTATAGAAACAATGGAAAGGGTCAGGTCTTTGGGGTATACCGTATACCTTAAAGTCATAGAAAAACTGGATGGTTGACGACTGAAAATCACCAATAACCTCAGGTTCCCTGGGTTTTGAAATTTCACCCAGCCAGCCATGTGTAGCGATGCATAGCGACTGTCGTGATCATCCTTTTCCAAGGGGATCTCGGCATTACAAATCACTATCTCAAACTGCCGGTTATCCGATTATTGCCCTGCCAGTGATGTTTGTAGGTTTATAAACTGTATGGTAAGTATATGTAAGTATAGATATATCTACCATAAATATCCATAAACCCTAGATATTGGAGTTATAATCCAATTATTGCCAAGGCCCTGCGAAGGTTTTGTTTCATGCTCGCAGGTCATTCCACCCGGAATGCAAGAGAGAGAGAGAGAGAGAGACTGTCAATGACACACCTGACCTGTGGAAGATGATTACAAATATCAACGATATATTATGTACATACATATTACAAGTAATTACTGTATGTGTGTATATTATATTATATTATATTATATTATATCATATTATAATATATAACATAATGAGGTAAATCTGTTTTGTCTGCAGTTGTATTGTAGCTGCTGCCCGCAAATCTGCAAATCTGCCTGCAACTTTGGCTCTTCGGCAGCTGGTGCAGAAGCATCATGGCCATTTTCCTGGACCAAGCAAAGACAGACAATTGGAACCATATAAATCCCGGAAAACATTTGTGCCTGACATGTTTTCAATATTGGTTTCACATGTTTTAAATCAAGATAAGGTATCATCATGGATAGACATTGGAGATTGAAAGAAAAGATCCGCCTGACCATGCGTCGTACCACCAGGGCTGTATGCATAAACGACCCTGCGAATCCACGGTCTCCTTCGGTGCATCCGCAAATGCTTGCTCACCCTGTCAGGTGTTCAGGGGCATACACGCATGTCTGATATGTCTGATGAAGAGATGCTATTGATATCTTCAGTTGGTATCATATTCATTCAACCTTCTCAAGAATGAAACTTATTGTAACGTGCTCAGGTAATGTTCAAAAATGATGCATGCAGTTGCCTACTCACTGACTGTCTTATATCAGCTTCAGTAATTGAACTATATAAAATGAATGAACTGCAAAATGTGCCCATACGCAAACCACAATGGAACATGATCACATTGTAACATATATAGCTCTCTTCTGTGTGTGGTGTGGGATCATTTCATGACGCGTTCGCCCTTCTGACCCTCCGGGATGTGAACTGCACATAATGAGATCAACTATTCGTAGGAATGGTCATGGCTTAATGTACATGATCAACTCTCACGAAACGGTGTTATCATACAAACAAATATTAAATTTTAAATGTAATAACAACTCAACTATCATTTATATTATATCCTGGGGTTATCAACTATCAATCATACATAATCATACTATATATTTCTGTGACCCCAGAATGACCGAAGAGGCTGGAAAAATCTTTGTTCATCTCGCCTTGAGGATCGCTTCCATGCCCTGGCTGGGAGTAATCTCGGCCAAATGGGTGGATCTCGTGAAAGTTCATATTGTAAATGGCGATATCCCCGCCCAGTGTTCCCTGCCGGACCTCAACTACACGACCGCCCATCTCAAAACAAGAATGTTCACCGAAAATGCCAAGATTGGCAGGCAGAGCCCAGAATTAAAAAGACATGTGCAGATGACCACTAATAATGGGGGTCTTGAATGCTTGCAGCAGCTTGCAGTTTGGGAAAAAATGTTGCCATCGGAATTTACCTATCATGCCAGCAGGATGCACAACCAATGCAGTACCCTCTGGTAAACTAACGTAACTATGGAAAATCACCATGCTATTCATGGGTAAATCAACTATTTCGACCGGGCCATGGCTTCAATAGCGAACTGTTCAATTACAAGAAGGTATATCCATCAATATCCCAGCATTATCCCATCATTATCCCATGATCATCCCTACAAAACCATATTAAACCATATTAAACCATTCTAAAACCATATAAAACAATATAAAACCATAGTAAAACCATATATAAAACCATATAAAACCATATAAAACCATAGTAAATCCATTAAACCTCCATTACCAGGCCGGGTAAGTCATGTTTAATCACCTCGTGCCCACGTTGGTCAGCCCCCCCCAACGTTTTGCCTCAAAGAGGCTCCAGTCCATTTGCCAGTAAGAAAATGTATAAATGTCATGGTGGGGATCACACGAAGTAAAGTAATTGGGCGACATGAATTTCGATACATTCACAACATGTTGTCAGTCAGAACAGCTGCTTTGATTCGACTTGTCTCTACAGCCGTTGCCGCATCAGGGATCCGCTTCCGCCTACATGGCTCGATCCAAGATATCCAGAGCTTTCAAGAGGAAGATGCAGGAAGTATCTTAAGTGCGCAGATTCTTAGGTGCACATGTGTCAAAGCGTGGTTACCCTTAAAATTCAATGTCTTCATCTAAACCACCAGAATTTAGCCAGGAAACTTGGAGATGTTCACCTTGCCATCACTATGACCATTCTGGGACGTGCCCGCTGCCCTGGGCCTGCAACTTTGGCTGCTTTTCGGCAGCTGGAGCGGAAACGTCATGGCCATTCTCAGACAAATCCACGGTTGGTACATCTGCAACTGCTGATTCCTCCTCAGCCACGAAAAAAAGGGTCTTAAAATTTCACCCAAAGCCATGTGTGCAGATATGTGCCCACATTGCCCATATGTGCATGCACTTACCAACGCATAGCCAATAGTGATCAAATGTTCTCTTCAGAGGGGACCTTGGCATTTCCCAATCGCTAACTCAAACTTGCAAATAAGGTTTCGTTGACAAGGCCTTGCAAGGGTTTGTTCAGATATGAAAAGTCTATAATACACATATATCTGGGTAAATAATAAGAAATATATTAAATATTTCGCTCACCTGAATAGTTTGGTCATTTGGGGATAATTTGCCTAACAATTAAAAAAAACAAGATTCCAGGTAACTCGGTAGAACAGGCTTCGGTTCTTTATGTTGAATCCCTTGGGTTGCTGCTATTACTGGGATTACGATGATTATGGACATACTGGAATTGTGACTGAGGGAACATGGTATAGGGCTACACATGGGAATGCTCATCCGGATGATGTGCAATGAATGTTTTTGTTTGAAGATTTTGAAGTTCAACTCCAAAAGCTAGTGTTAAACATCCTCCGCCTTTCACAAATGAAGACTGTCCTGCTTTGCTTTCCGCTTTGCCCGTGGCCGCGATTTGGCAGCTGACGGAATGGCGGCAATCACTTTGTTGGTGTTCGTTGTGACAACCTCCTGAATGGTGTTGAGACATGCTGAGACGCAACATGAGACAGTACCAAGAGGATAATGAGCTTGGCATCTGCGGTATACGCCTTCATCGGGTCTAACCATCAGGTCTAACCATCGGGTCTAACCATCGGGCCTAACCATCAGGTCTAACCATCGGGTCTAACCATCAGGTCTAACCATCAGGTCCAACCAACGTTCTCTGATCATACTGTCGGCCTTGATTTCTGTTGCACTTCACTTAGAAGTTTGCCTTCTAATCCCATCCATATGTTTTTGTCGTTCCATCCATTGCAATTGTGATGAGCAAACACATGATGACCCATAGGCCCCCTTGGGGTTTTGGGATTGCCCTACCTTTTCTGGACAAAAAAACACATCATATGGATATGACCAAAAATCAGGTCCGGGTACCAACGGACCCACAAAGGAATGTTTGGTCATGTTTAGGACTTATTGTTCCAAGTAATCATCCTATCATATCCTATCTATCCTGGTTGGTGGTTGACTAAACCATCTTGAAAAATATGAGTTCGTCAAAGGGAAGGATGACATCCCATATATGAAATGGAAAAATAAAATTCATGTTCCAAACCACCAACCAGCTATCATGTCCTATCCATCTTTTTGGGGAATGAATTCGATACATTCACAACATGTTGTCAGTCAGACAGCGCTTTTGATTCGACCTTGTCCTCCGCCGTTGCCGCATCAAGGATCGCTTCCGCCTACATGGCTCGATCCAAGATATCCAGAGCTTTCAAGAGGAAGATGCAGGAAGTATCTTAAGTGCGCAGATTCTTAGGTGCACATGTGTCAAAGCGTGGTTACCCTTAAAATTCAATGTCTTCATCTAAACCACCAGAATTTAGCCAGGAAACTTGGAGATGTTCACCTTGCCATCACTATGACCATTCTGGGACGTGCCCGCTGCCCTGGGCCTGCAACTTTGGCTGCTTTTCGGCAGCTGGAGCGGAAACGTCATGGCCATTCTCAGACAAATCCACGGTTGGTACATCTGCAACTGCTGATTCCTCCTCAGCCACGAAAAAAAGGGTCTTAAAATTTCACCCAAAGCCATGTGTGCAGATATGTGCCCACATTGCCCATATGTGCATGCACTTACCAACGCATAGCCAATAGTGATCAAATGTTCTCTTCAGAGGGGACCTTGGCATTTCCCAATCGCTAACTCAAACTTGCAAATAAGGTTTCGTTGACAAGGCCTTGCAAGGGTTTGTTCAGATATGAAAAGTCTATACACATATATCTGGGTAAATAATAAGAAATATATTAAATATTTCGCTCACCTGAATAGTTCGGTCATTTGGGGATAATTTGCCTAACAATTAAAAAAACATGATTCCAGGTAACTCGGTAGAACAGGCTTCGGTTCTTTATGTTGAATCCCTTGGGTTGCTGCTATTACTGGGATTACGATGATTATGGACATACTGGAATTGTGACTGAGGGAACATGGTATAGGGCTACACATGGGAATGCTCATCCGGATGATGTGCAATGAATGTTTTTGTTTGAAGATTTTGAAGTTCAACTCCAAAAGCTAGTGTTAAACATCCTCCGCCCTTCACAAATGAAGACTGTCCTGCTTTGCTTTCCGCTTTGCCCGTGGCCGCGATTTGGCAGCTGACGGAATGGCGGCGATCACTTTGTTGGTGTTCGTTGTGACAACCTCCTGAATGGTGTTGAGACATTCTGAGGCGCAACATGAGACAGTACCAAGAGGATAATGAGCTTGGCATCTGCGGTATACGCCTTCATCGGGTCTAACCATCAGGTCTAACCATCGGGTCTAACCATCGGGCCTAACCATCAGGTCTAACCATCGGGTCTAACCATCAGGTCTAACCATCAGGTCTAACCATCAGGTCGAACCAACGTTCTCTGATCATACTGTCGGCCTTGATTTCTGTTGCACTTCACTTAGAAGTTTGCCTTCTAATCCCATCCATATGTTTTTGTCGTTCCATCCATTGCAATTGTGATGAGCAAACACATGATGACCCATAGGCCCCCTTGGGGTTTTGGGATTTGCCCTACCTTTTCTGGGCAAAAAAAACACATCATATGGATATGACCAAAAATCAGGTCCGGGTACCAACGGACCCACAAAGGAATATTTGGTCATGTTTAGGACTTACTGTTCCAAGTAATAATCCTATCATATCCTATCTATCCTGGTTGGTGGTTGACTAAACCATCTTGAAAAATATGAGTTCGTCAAAGGGAAGGATGACATCCCATATATGAAATGGAAAAATAAAATTCATGTTCCAAACCACCAACCAGCTATCATATCCTATCCATCTTTTTGGGGAATGAATTCGATACATTCACAACACGTTGTCAATCAAACAGCACTTTTCATTCGACCTTGTCCTCCGCCGTTGCCGCATCAAGGGTCGCTTCCGCCTACATGGCTCGATCCAAGATATCCAGAGCTTTCAAGAGGAAGATGCAGGAAGTATCTTAAGTGCGCAGATTCTTGGGTGCACATGTGCCAAAGCGTGGTTACCCTTAAAATTCAATGTCTTCATCTAAATCACCAGAATTTAGCCAGGAAACTTGGAGATGTTCACCTTGCCATCACTATGACCATTCTGGGACGCGCCCGCTGCCCTGGGCCTGCAACTTTGGCTGCTTTTCGGCAGCTGGAGCGGAAACGTCATGGCCGTTTTCCTCGGGTCCAAGGGGCAAGGCCACAGCTCACCAGGTAGGGACCCACACTGAAACCAGCTTCAAGAGCTATAGAAACAATGGAAAGGGTCAGGTCTTTGGGGTATACCGTATACCTTAAAGTCATAGAAAAACTGGATGGTTGACGACTGAAAATCACCAATAACCTCAGGTTCCCTGGGTTTTGAAATTTCACCCAGCCAGCCATGTGTAGCGATGCATAGCGACTGTCGTGATCATCCTTTTCCAAGGGGATCTCGGCATTACAAATCACTATCTCAAACTGCCGGTTATCCGATTATTGCCCTGCCAGTGATGTTTGTAGGTTTATAAACTGTATGGTAAGTATATGTAAGTATAGATATATCTACCATAAATATCCATAAACCCTAGATATTGGAGTTATAATCCAATTATTGCCAAGGCCCTGCGAAGGTTTTGTTTCATGCTCGCAGGTCATTCCACCCGGAATGCAAGAGAGAGAGAGAGAGAGAGACTGTCAATGACACACCTGACCTGTGGAAGATGATTACAAATATCAACGATATATTATGTACATACATATTACAAGTAATTACTGTATGTGTGTATATTATATTATATTATATTATATTATATCATATTATAATATATAACATAATGAGGTAAATCTGTTTTGTCTGCAGTTGTATTGTAGCTGCTGCCCGCAAATCTGCAAATCTGCCTGCAACTTTGGCTCTTCGGCAGCTGGTGCAGAAGCATCATGGCCATTTTCCTGGACCAAGCAAAGACAGACAATTGGAACCATATAAATCCCGGAAAACATTTGTGCCTGACATGTTTTCAATATTGGTTTCACATGTTTTAAATCAAGATAAGGTATCATCATGGATAGACATTGGAGATTGAAAGAAAAGATCCGCCTGACCATGCGTCGTACCACCAGGGCTGTATGCATAAACGACCCTGCGAATCCACGGTCTCCTTCGGTGCATCCGCAAATGCTTGCTCACCCTGTCAGGTGTTCAGGGGCATACACGCATGTCTGATATGTCTGATGAAGAGATGCTATTGATATCTTCAGTTGGTATCATATTCATTCAACCTTCTCAAGAATGAAACTTATTGTAACGTGCTCAGGTAATGTTCAAAAATGATGCATGCAGTTGCCTACTCACTGACTGTCTTATATCAGCTTCAGTAATTGAACTATATAAAATGAATGAACTGCAAAATGTGCCCATACGCAAACCACAATGGAACATGATCACATTGTAACATATATAGCTCTCTTCTGTGTGTGGTGTGGGATCATTTCATGACGCGTTCGCCCTTCTGACCCTCCGGGATGTGAACTGCACATAATGAGATCAACTATTCGTAGGAATGGTCATGGCTTAATGTACATGATCAACTCTCACGAAACGGTGTTATCATACAAACAAATATTAAATTTTAAATGTAATAACAACTCAACTATCATTTATATTATATCCTGGGGTTATCAACTATCAATCATACATAATCATACTATATATTTCTGTGACCCCAGAATGACCGAAGAGGCTGGAAAAATCTTTGTTCATCTCGCCTTGAGGATCGCTTCCATGCCCTGGCTGGGAGTAATCTCGGCCAAATGGGTGGATCTCGTGAAAGTTCATATTGTAAATGGGATATCCCCAAGAAAGCACGCACACATACTGTACTTATAACATCTAGCATGTTCTAATTGGATCATATTGGATCTACATGGGATATAGCATCTACCCAACAGTATATGGGTCATTGGCATTCATTCGGCTCTTACACTACAATTACTGGAAGATGTCCGCCCAAGCAAAACACTAGAAGACTCCGGTCTTCGCTGTGAAAATTGAGATGAATTCACCGACCAATGCCAAGATTGGCCAGGCAGAGCCCCAGAATTGAAAAACGACATGTATCAACATGTACCACTAACTAATGGGGGTCTTGTCCAGCTTGCAGCAGCTTGCAGTTTGGGAAAAATATGTTGGACATCGGATGTTTACCTATCAACTGGTGCAGGATTTCACAACCATCCACAGTACCCTCTGGTAAACTAACGTAACTATGGAAAATCACCATGCTATTCATGGGTAAATCAACTATTTCGACCGGGCCATGGCTTCAATAGCGAACTGTTCAATTACAAGAAGGTATATCCATCAATATCCCAGCATTATCCCATCATTATCCCATGATCATCCCTACAAAACCATATTAAACCATATTAAACCATTCTAAAACCATATAAAACAATATAAAACCATAGTAAAACCATATATAAAACCATATAAAACCATATAAAACCATAGTAAATCCATTAAACCTCCATTACCAGGCCGGGTAAGTCATGTTTAATCACCTCGTGCCCACGTTGGTCAGCCCCCCCCAACGTTTTGCCTCAA